TTTCCACTCAATTGAAAGGCATTTAGGACAAAACAAGTACCTGAAGATTTAAAATCTGAAATCCTATTAAATATTTTGAGAGAGAAGGTCACTAATTTAATGGTATATGTGAATAATAATAATATTTATTCTTAGCCTGCCTCGCCTCTCATTGGGCACTACATTCGTTATTAATTAATTACAAAGCAAATTACATTTATAAATACAATTTGATGTTGGTTTTTCCAACTTACATTGAATAGTTATATTAGTGAAAACAAGTTTGATTAGTAATTTGAATATATATATATATGAAAAAGTGAGTTATTTAACATACTTTATATAAGGCATGCTGCCTTTTACATATCGTCAGGTTTTAACATGGTATGACTTGTATGATGGTCTTGTTATCATTGACGAAGCTGAACAATCTGTCTTACTTCCTGGAGACCGTAGAAATCCGTTAGGTAACCTCTGAGACCTTTACTTTGGAGTAGGGCGGTGTTGGCTGGAGATCTAAGCGACTTGGTGAGTGGGCATCAAGTGATGTAATGGACGGCATCTGCTGTGCTGGCGGGTGATCCACACTGCACTTGACATGTAAATGTAGAAACCTCTCTAAATATTGGGGGAACCTTCCATGATTGGAAAGGGCCTGAACCGTGTAGTGGTTCGAGTAAACTCTTGACAGCCTGACGTTCGGGAAGATTGCGAAGGTGTATCTTCCGGTACCTCCTTGTTCCCATCTTTCTTGCCATTGTGACATGAAAGTCTCTTGGATGTGATGCTTGGCTGCTCTCATGGAAATCGGAAGAGAGGTATATGTGAAGGAATAATTACGATAAACTAAAGTCCATGATTTTAAAGGAATTTCAGCCAACCCCTCAAGAGTGTTTAAATCATTTTCGTTCTACGCAAAAGTTGTCATCTGAGAACTTTGTACAGTTTGCGTCAAGGTTAAGTGCAAATTTTGAATATTATTGTCAGTTTGAAATGTAAAAGGTTTTAAATCATTATGTGATCTTATGGTTTCGGATAAAATATTCAGTGAACTTCTCAGGCGATGAAGGTGCATCCGAAGGGCGATCAACGAAAAGATCACAAGGCAGACGAAGGTCACGACATAATCCTAAAATTTCTCAGGCTAAAATCCGAAGAAAATATAGTGAAATTCTTGGAAAAAATATAAGAATAATCTTCAAATAATTAAAGGACCCAGCAACAATATTAATCTTGATAAATATGATTAAATAAATATTTAATATCATCCAGGAAACGAAGAATGTCCGAACTTCCGCTGAAATGCAGAATATATTCCTGAAAAACTTTTACTAACTGCCTTTGTCAATAGATGAAGCGCTTGCGTGACTGTTACTTATCTCTGTACGAAGACCAGTTGTATACTTTATCCTGTATAGATTATGTAGTATATTACCCCTTTGACAAAAGTAGTTAGAATTCTATTAAAGACGTTCGTTTTGGCGAGCTTTTAAAAGAACGTGAAAATTGTCAGTTATTTGTTTACAGCCATGGAAGCAGCAAGGCAGCGGAGATTCAGAGTTCACGTTTTACCACAAAGAATGATTAAATATTTTCGGTTGCTTCCACACCGTACTCGAGTCGTAGCATAGAAGTCTGGATGCAGTAGAACTGTTCGAAATAATGAAATTTGCCAAGAAAAATCATTAATTTCGTTTTGGCCTTTCGCCTTGATTCACTATAAAAGGCGAATCACTTTTCAAATCGTTTCCACCAAATACTCTCGCCCTGTATTATATTTAAAGAAATTAAATAATGAAGAATCTGCATAAATGTATGTATGCTTCTTGCATTGTGATAAAACAACGGTACCTAGAGCCATCAAATTTGGAACAACGTAATCCTCCACCCGAATATGGGTATTTGGATGCCCAAATTTAGAATATGTTTTATTACCTATTTCATATGTTGCAACACTAACAAACTCAACGATTTCAAAGCGAGCAGTGGCAACACTGTACTAAAAAAAAAAACAATCTACCTCCAGCGTGCGAGACTGTGTATCGGAAATTTTAAAGATATGCTCATTTTAAAATTATTTTGTAATGTTGCTGTCGAATTAAATTTTATGTTTAAGTGCGAAGAACAGGATATTTAATAAATAAAGGTAACACACAAAACGTTAAAAAGAGAGTTTAAGTTTTGTAAAATCTGAAAGCTCTCAGTTTTTTTTTTTTTTTTTTTTTAAATCTTCCGTTTCTCTTCGAATGCCGATGAGATCAATTCATGTTGTATTCAATAAAAAAAAAAAAAAAAAAAAAAAAGAGGATGTTTTCTCTGGACGATAAAACTCGTTATCACTACAGTGATTGTAACTCGATGCTTCTATTCTTTTAAGTTTAAATATTCTTATTTCTGAAAAAAATTCCTTATGAATTCCTTTTTTACAAGAATCCAAACCTAATGCAATCTAACTTTACTAAGTTTTCCGGTTCTTCTAACCTTATGTTAACGGGTAAAAATAATGCGTATCTTAATTTTATCGCCAATAAATGTTTTTGATATGCTTTTAGAGGTATTTTTTCTCTTCATTTAATATTTTACACGCATTTAGTTAAAGTTTTGCATTTTTTAGCATTACCCTAAAAGAGCATTAGATCCAGTTAGCTATTAGTCGCAAAACGGCATTTTGCGTCTTTTGACTTTCTGCATTGATTCTTTTTTCAAACTTTTGCCACCAGATATTATCGCCATGCCTTATATTTAGAAAAACTAAATAATAAATAACTAAATAATGACTGAAAATAAAAAATTTGCGTGAATGAATGTTTCTCGCATTGTGAAGAAACCACTGTACCTGCAACCATCCAACCGAACATGGGAACTTAAAAACACGAATTTTGTATTTGGAATTTGTTTTATTATATATTTCAAAATTTTGTAAAATTTTAACGAGTTTCTTATTAAAAACCCTTGCAGTCATTTCGAGAAGCAGAAAGTACTAGAAAGATCTCGGCGGCCGGGGTAAAATTATATAAGAGGAGCGACAGCATTATTTTCTCAATTGTTCTACTTTTTATTACAGCCATATGTACAGGAATTTATACTCATATACAGTTTGTCCTAAGATTCAGTGTTATGAACAAGCATTCAGTGCTCAAGCATATAACACGGAAAAAGGAATCACTTTAAATCACTGCTTTTCCTTATATCTCATCACCAATTATAAAAAGAAATGAAAGTTCTCATATGAAAATGTAAAACATTTATTTTCCAGCAGTATATAATGTATGAAAACAAGTAACAATAGTAAGCAATATATGTATAAGCATTCTACATCTCTTAGGTAAGGTTATAGAGTAAACAAATATAAAAACTGAACAGGTAACAAAGCATAAATTTTAATTTCCTAACAATTAAATATTGAACACAACGGTACTTAAATATGTTTAACAATATGGTACAACGCACTTAAATATGATTAACAAATTTAATGTTGTTATAATTCATCAAAGTAAATAACAAAGAATACATTGTTGCATATAAATCAAATTTTCGTCTTTTTGTATATACGGTACAAACTCAATTCAATTCGATAAATCGAGCTGAATACCGGAATGTAGAATTCGTAACTTAGTTAATTTTTTTCTATGAATAGAATTTTTGATTACTTGGAAACGAAACACTCCATTCAGTTTCGAAAAATGAAGTTTAACTAGAATTTATTTAAAATTATCATGAACATATTACTTCATTTTTTTAACTTCTGAAGTTGTACCTGATGCGAAAGTTTATTCCAAAACCAATTGCTTGTAATTTTTAAAGCATGTTTCACATGAAGACTGACACTACAAAAATATGCCATTTTAAAATCTGACGACAGGTTAATTACACTCGTGCTAAAAAAATAAGCAACAAACGCTAAAAGAAAAGGCACGAATGTAAAAAAGAAGTTAACACGTATAATTTATATATCAGGCAGAGGTTGCATCACCAAATGCAAATAGGTAGATAAAATTAGCATAAAACGTAATCCCGCATTTACGCTACAACGTCTTAAAAGGGGCATGCTGGACGTACGCGTCAGTTCGCAAGCAGAGAACAGTTCTGCGCAATCCGAGATCGCCAAAGCGAAAAGCATGAGCCGAAGACGTTATTTGCATGGTGAAATGAATTGGAGGACTGTCAGGAAGTTGCAAGCTGGTGCAAGACTCTCTGCTTCTGCGAGAGAGCTTAAAGTGCATTGTAGCGTCATTAGTAGGCTACGGAATCGTTACCAAAGGAGTCAAATCTCTGTATAAGACAGGGTTTGGACGCTGGAGGATTAACACAATAGCAGGCAATCGCTTCCTGTTACAGTGTGCCATAGACCACTAACAGCACGACAGCTGGATCTCTACAGCTGCAGGACGGCGCATATCTGGCTAAACTGTGTCATGTCTATTACATGAAGATGGACTCTACGCCCGAAGACTCGTGGTTTGGGTTTTCTTTCCCATCGCATGTCAGAGCGTGGTTGAACTGAACCCCGTGAACATCGCAGTTGGACAGCAGTGGGCACATACTCTTTAAGGATGTAAGGTACCTCACTTTGGAATTCTAAGTTAATGTTGGAAGTGAGGAACCTAAGAACTGATAAGCGAATAATCGCTAGAGTTCGATGACAGGAAATAACAAGAGAGAAGGGTAACTAACCCTTTATTATTTCGATAAGATTTAACAAAACTCCGCCTGGGAGTGTGCAAGTAAAGCCCGCACTTCGGACTTGAACTTAAAAGACTAAGAATTAAACTAAAACTAAGATTAACTAAATAAGTATAGCCGAAGCCATCAAGGTTCAATTAGAGTTGGCCCCTTAATTTATTTTACTACGAAGCTTAGCAAGGGCCTGAGTACGGCCGAGCGTAAAAACAGCTTTGAGAGAGAGAGCGGCCAAAAAGGCAGACGCGTGTGGTTCAGAAACTCTGTTTCTCTCTCTGTCTCAGTAAGTAACTTCGTGGTTTAAATACCGCTCCTTCTCATTAAATATTCAGCAAATTCCAAAACTACGTTCTGACCGGAAGTAGTAAGTTGAAGTTAAGAATTTGACAGGAAAGAAACGTTAACTTAAAATTTAACTGTTAATAAAATTAACATAATCCTCACAAGGATAAGTCTCGATTTAACATCCGAAACGGTTCCCAAAAGGCAATGAAATGGCAAGAGATAGAGACACGCTATCCGCCGTCAGATATCGTCGAAAGAGACCATTACAGAGGAGGAGGTTTATTTGAACAGGCTGTGATAGCAATGAATGACCGCATCGAACTCTACGTGATTCCTGGTGGTTCCGCTATAGTAATCAGATATCGCGACGAAATTCTGCATCTTCTTGTGCTTCGATTTATCGCTGCATTGGCCACCGATTTATGAACTATGATGTCCACCCGCATAGAGCTCAAGTGGTGCAAAACCATCTGGAGAGTGAAACATTTCCAAATCTGATCACCGGAATTAAATCATACAGAGCATATGAAGGACGGTTTGGAGAATAGATAGCAGGCTGCAGTGTGCCACCAGGTGCCCTCCACGAGCTCCGACATGCAATACTACAGGAATGGGTGCTACAGCCACAACAAGCGATCAACGGCTCTGTTGGCAGCTTGATTCGCTGACGTCAAGGACGTCTTTCAGGTACAGGGTACCATACCCGTTCTAACGTGATTTTCCATTGCACATTCTTTCGACAAATTTGGTCTCTCGTGATAGAAGACGTCATACATGTGTTTTTGTGTGTCTTTGTTTTATTGTTTACTATATAATCTAGTAATCCTAGAGCAAACACTTGGATCAATTTCCAACATCTGCATTATATAGTTTTGTTTTATTCAATGTTCTGCCTTTGTTGCTTATTTATGAGCAGGAACAGAGAACTGTACTTATTTATGAAATCTTATATAGCATACAGAAAGTTGCAATTTAGAAAGCTCATGGTCTTAAGAAAGAATTGGCTACCGGATACCTATTAGAAAAAGGCTACCGGATACCTATTAGAAAATCATTATATTAATGATTTTCTAATAGGTATCCGGTAGTGTCCGTATCAAAACTGGTTACGTTAAAATATTAAATTGCTTAAAGTGTTAAAAATATTACTAACATGTTAAATAGTTTCAAATTAGACTAATAAAAAAAACTTATACCGGAGTAAATTTTGAGCAACTCTCTACCGATTTCGAAAGTGATTGGTAACTTTCCTCAGTAACAAAAATCTTTTACAAAGTTTTGAGGAATAACTCATATGCAAATAAGGCAAGATAAAACTAGCTAGCGTCCTCTAGCGAGAGAAATAGTAAAAGGGTAAGCTAAAAGCTAGTTAAAAGTCTAAGATATTATAATTATAGCACCCTCTGTCGAGAAAAGCAGTAATGAAACGTAAAAGTTTAAAATATTTGAAAAACCTTTAAAGAAATCTATTAATTTTTCACTATCAAACGCTCTGTATATAATTTTGGCAGAACCAAAACTCAAATGCAATTGAGGGACTAACTGTGATTAGTTATCCAAGATATCTTTATTTCTCGTTTTGGAAGGAGGATTCGTGTATATTGATGCGCAGTTTTAATTCTCCTTTAATATGCCTGATATAGTAAAAATCGGAGAGACAAGATATCTCATTAATAATGCAAAAATTAAAATCAGAGATGGGATCAACAGCCTAAGCTTGCTTTTTAGCCTACTTTTAAACTCTGCGTCGGTATGTTGCCTTTCCACCTAAATTCTGGGATAATAGCTCTCAATGAAATCCTTTGGTTTATTTTTAACATGAATTAACTGTGACCACTGTGCGCACGTATAGTACATGGATCGATGACATCGAAGTACAGCGGAACTTTGATTAATCTTGGGACTGCCATTAGAAATTAAAAAAAAAAAAAAATGGATGGATTACCAAAAAAGGGCTAGCAAGTGGTCGGTTTATATGACTTAATTTAATTACGAATATGCAAAGGAAAATATCAAATGTTTGAAATTAATCTAAAGCATTACCTAGCTATAATACGGTAAGTATAAAATATTTCCTTTTTTTAAAGTAAATTTAAATAAAATAAAATTTATAGTTAAATATTTTTACTATTGCAGTTCTCAAAATTTACATTTATTAAAATAAGACATGAATCTATAGGCATACATAACAAAATCATTCTTTATCGTTTCATATATTGTATAAATGAAAACAACAATTACGCAATTAAATACGGAATACGTTTTCACTGTTGAAGCCTTGTACATAAAAGTGTAAAGTCTAGTAGCAAAGTACTCAGAAAAAATATAATTTTCTGTAGTTGTATAAGAATGAATATATTTTAACAGAAAATGTTTAGTAATTATATTTGTTGAAATAATGCAGCGATTATCCCGTTAATTGATGTAGATTTTATTTTAGCTGGAATGTTTTAAGTGATTTGTCGCTTTCTTCATTGCCACTAAAGAAGAGAAATACCACAAAGAAAGAAAGCGAATTTTCAATAAAACACGTGTGGCTAACAACGGCGACTTCTATCATTAAAGAAGAAAGAAAATAACAAAAGAGATATCATATCTTTTATTAAAAAATAAGTGTGTGCATCATTTTTCTGCTTACTTTTTCTGCTTTCATTTACTTTGTTCCATTTACTCCCCTTTTACTTTAGAAGACGCTGTTGTTTACAATGTCTCTACAAATTCTTTGCTTTATCTAAATTTCTTTGACCTTTCTTTCCTTGCTGTACTTTGTAACATTTACGATTTAAATTTTATTAACAGTTTGCGTTACGTTAAATTCTATCTGATATTTCTTGACTCTTCAGAAAACTCTGGAATCAGAACTTGAAACCAGACTTTATGCAAATTATACGGCAAGTGTCACAGCATAATTTTAATCTAAACCATTACCTGATTTCAACTCATTCCATGATTCAGTCATCTTTCTGTAAAAGCCGCTAGTTAAATAGTGATAGAATTATTGAAGATTTTGTAGAACTTGAAAAGTTTAGCATTTTTTCTTTCTTTGCTATAAATTGTGACATTAGTGATTTAAATTTTACTAACAGTTATGTTAATTTCTATTCCAAGTTTTTGTCAGGAACCAGAACTTGGAACCAAAAATATATGCAAATTATGCGGCTGGGGGCACTGCCTGACACTGTAACACTAGGCTTAAGCATAACTAATTTCATAATTCTGCCGTCTTACTGTAAATTCCGCTAAAAGAGTAACCGAATTATTGAAGATTTGGTAGAGCTTTGAAAGTTTAGTACCTTTTGAAACCTACCTAAGTGTACTTTTATTGTGTAGGATTCGTTGCCGTAATCACTTATTAATTTTAACCAAGCAGTTATTATTGTAAGTTACGAGAATCCTTGAAGTTTAGTTCATTTATTTCTTTAGCTGCAATTTCCACAAGTTGTGGCTAATAATGTTTATGTGTTTGGTATATATGACCTTTGGGTCTACCTTGCATATTAGAAGACAAGCAATACGAAATGCGATAAATCAACTACTGGTTTAAGTTTTAGAACAAGTATTTAGACTTAATTTACGCGGTAGATGTTACACATTATTGTTCATCTAATTGCATCAGGAAATGATGGTAGCTTTGCAATTGCTGAAAATGCTTCTGATAGAATAAAATCTACATCAATTAACGTAGTTATTTTTATACTTGCATTTATTTTTTGCTATCTTGGGATTCATAATGACCATTGGAACTTCTCAAAGGACTGGTAGGTAACATAACGTTATTGTCAAATGACTAATAAATAATCGAGTTTCCTCTGTCGTACAAGAAAATAGCTTCGCGCAGCATATAAATGCCAATGTACTGACATATATAGCTTGAAACACAAAACTAAAATATAAACGCTTTCTAAATGTTAGAAAGTATAAAAAAATATATCTGATAATGGACGTTCATAATTAACCATTATGAACGTCTGTAGTTCCTATGTCTCTTCTTACTCATTCTACTCCCTTGTTGATGTAATGTTTGTCTTCAGTTCAACTCCCTAGAGAACAGATCCTTCCCATTTTCATTTGAAACAGGACGACGACTTCCCTCGGATTCAGCATGCTGTTTCAAAGCTTCAGATGAATGGTAGTCATTGGTTGCTGAACTAGGAACGGTGGATTTTGTTTCATCAATGTTTATGCTTTTAATTGCATCGTCAGATTTTCGCTTTCTTAAGTTGCCTGATTCATCGTTTGGAGCATTCTCTAATTCCTTCATAGTGTCAGAATTTCCTGCAATAGCTTCTAAATCTGCATTTTGTAGAACTGTTGCTGTTACATGTGGGTTAGCATCCTCATTATTTTCACTGTGACTACGCTGCGAAGTCTTCATTTTTATCGACCTTTCTCGGCTAATAGACATTTTGCGTCTGAAATAAAAGAAACCTAAATATTAATTCATCAATAAGTATGAGGGAAATCTGGCAGCAAATTATCATTTCATAATAAGCCATACAGAAGGAAAATTTTACAAGTTAAGAATACATTTATTTCTTCAAATAGGTATCTAACTCTCCACGATTCCCAGATGCGGTTTATTAAAGTATGGAAAAATATTCAAATTAAATGATTTAAAAGTTTGCTTTTTTAAACACTAAAAGAAGCAGTTTGGATTAAATGACAAACAAGTACGCTTGGAAAATATATTATACTTGTAATACAAGCACAGGATTCGAGCATTGTAAATTTATCAGAACATAAAGCAAAAGGTTTTGTTTTATGTATCAGAGTAACTGCTCATATTTTCAAAGCTATATGTGTCACATCCAAAATGACGCAAAAAATTGCAATGCGCGTCGCTAATGTTTACAGCTCTTACACAGTCTACCATATTGTTGCGTGCTTACGGGTTCGTAATGAACTGAATGCTCAAGTCGATAAAAAGCTAAAAACAATTATTCTTATCCCAAGAAATAAAACAAAATGCTGAAATTTCCTGAGAGATATTAGTATAATATTGCAATATCTCACAGTAGTTATATTTTAAACTACTGAAACGTTAACTAGACCTCAAATTTCCAAACACAGAGTGAGCTTATCCAATCTCACCGCAAAATCGCTGCAATCAATGACAGAACTAAGTAAACAACTGAATTGAGATGTTCTGATAAAGCGTTTAGAAACTTTTTAATAATGCACGAGAACATTCTGGTATTTTCTCGATTTTTCTGGATAGCAAAAGAGTACAATTACGAGATATCTATTTATTAAATGTTAAATGCGCGTTCTCCTGTATTTTTATGTTTTCGGCGTAGCTTTCCCTTAAAACCTGCCGTCCGCAGCACTGCACGAGGAAATGAAACAATTTAATAACAATTCTACTAAACATAGCAACCTAAATGCAAGACCGTAACAATATTGTTGAGCCCGGCTTCAAATCTTGAAGAAGCCATGAATATTAGTAAATGTAAAGTGTTTTTGAGACATTGTTTCACTTAAAGTTCATCCAGGCGAAAATACACCCAGAAGGTTAATGATAGAGGACGAAGGATCTCTTTTTGTATTTAGCTTCCTTTCGTATTCTCGATTAAAATTTGGAGTGAACTGAGAAAATGTTTTATTGACATAAATGTGCCAAGATCTTAGACAACGACCGCCGCATTTTTACCATGATAAATTCGTAAATCTCATTTGCATTAGATCCGAATGATAGGCGAAGGCTTCAACAAAACTCTAATATTGTATCACCAAGCAGATTTAGTTCTAGATTGCTGTATCTAGATTGCTGATCTAGATTACATATCTTGAGACTGATTTTAAAAAATTCTAAATGTAGTTGAATGCTCTAATTTTTTTAAATTTTAATATAGCTATCTGATTAGCGGCACATATAAATAGTATGAAAGTATAGTATAGCATACTATTAGAAGTTAAACTTTCTAGCATTACATTTTTCAAAAGTACGTTTCATACGTCTTATAAACTGATTGAATACACATTCGAAACTAGAGCATTAACTAAACTGTTCACAAATTTATTTTCAATATGCATATTACGGTTAAACTTTTCATGGCCACCATCTTGAGTACAACAGTTTCAAGAGTATCTTTGAAAATGATAAGTACTTTTGAATACCTAAATAAATATAGAAATTTTTAACCTTACTTCTCTCCAGATAATCATCTTAAATCCAGAAACATTTAGAAAAATTTGAATGATCGTCTAATATAGTGTTTTGACTGTGGACATAATTTTCTTATACCTGCTACATGAGTGTAGTGCGAAGGGCTACATATATAACTAGCAGTTTGAAACGGAGAAAGACCACAGATAATTTCTCATGTTTCCTAGAACAGTCTTTAAAGTAATCTTTGTATGCATGTGGGTCTTCCTACTAAGCAATATCTGATATTATATTTAGATGAAAAAATACGAAGAGTTTTGGTAAGCAAATTAATATTTCGATTAAATTGTTTCATTTAACGAAATTAAAATTTTTCATGTAGATATTATTTTCACAAACATTGACGTGCAGGCAAACTAAACGTGTTTATGGTTAAAACACTCAACATTATTAAAGAATGGGTTAGAAAATTTGAACTAGTTATTACTGTTTTGATGGCATTTGTATGCTATTTATTTGTTTTGTTATACACGTAAGCACATTTTATGTTTCTAACTTACTTGTTCCAGGAAAAGAATTTTTGTTTAGTTCCAAAATTTTCAGCATCAGTAATCGTCTGAGGTAAGTTTTCGTTGAGTGTCTCTGGTAAGAAGGATGCAGCAATTCCTGCTGCTAAACATATGATTCCGATGATAATAAAAGGAATAACTTTGCCATAAATAGCCTGAAAAAAATCTTAATCTATATTGAAGTCCTATTATATATATAATCCAGAGATAATAATTAAAACAATACTAGTGGCTAACTTATATTTAATAATAATATTTATAATAATAAGTAAATTGCATTAAATCATAAGCCTCATTTTGCTCTACACCTTTATTCCAACTGCTCGGCACCTGATAGATTCCTTTTCTTGAAAATTCATTAAGTGTATTCTTAAAGACATTATTGAGGTACTGTTTGACAACCTTCAAAGAGGTGAACGTTAGGAGGTTCATATAATTTTGAAGTGATGTGAAGAAAAAAATATGAGAGGGGGGCAAGTTCTTTCGGGATTGACACGAAACATCTCACATGTACTTAATAATTTTTGACTAACACTCATGGAAATGCAAGGACGAGGCATTATCGTGGTAAAGACAACCTTCGAGGAGGAAAAAGTGACCGTGAAACCACAAAATTTTAGATATCAGGTTTGCTACAATTCAAAGTATAATTTAAGTAAAAGTGTGAAGTATGCAGAACTCTTCCAAATAACCTGGAAGTATATGTCCTCAAAAACGAACGCCGAGACGTAAAAAAATTATTCTGAAAAAATAAAACAAAATCATTGTATTTCTGCTCCGGAACTGAGAGCTGTATTAGAACAAGAATTGTGTACTGTTAGTTTCCAAATCAACAACCAGAAATGTTATTAAATGTACAAGATTTTTAGGATTCGCTCCGAAAAAGTTCTATGTATTTCCTGTGATTGCAAACAAAAGACTATCTTTTGCAAACAAATATCAAAATCGACCTCTAAAATTCTGGAATAAAGTAACACTCTTAATATTTTGGGGCGCTTTACTGAAATTTAAAAATATGGCGTAAGCCAGGAACAAACATCTCGTCAAAGAAAAAACTAACGAGCCACATTAAAATATAGTGGTAATAAGTATTCTTGTTTAGGTGCATGTATCTGCCTCTGCAAATTAAGAGGACTATATACCTTAGAAACCGAGATTTTGGTCAAACGCACTCCTTTTTTTTCCTTGCGCTAGATGAAAGTTGTAAGGATTATGTTAATTTTATTAACAGTTAAATTTTTAGTTCCTTTCCTGTCAAATTCTTACCTTCAACTTACTACTTCCGGCCAGAACGTAGTTTTGGAATCACTCTGAATACTTAATGAGAAACAGCGGTATTTAAACCGCGAAGTCTACTTGCTGAGTTAGAGAGAATCAGAGTTTCTGATTTGCGCGCGTCTGCCTTTTGGCTACTAATTTTGACACCTTGTCCTCGAAAAGCATACAGGAAGTGCACAAAACGGAAATATTCAAAAGGCCGAAGTGGGTGTGTCAGAGTAGTTTTCTTTCATTTTTGGGGCTTAAAACTTTATTTTATTGCATTTTAAAGACCAAAAAGTATTTTTATGATGGCAAGGAAATGAAATTCTAGCATAATTTCAAGCCGTGTGTTATGAATTCACTAACGCATTTTTGCTCGTGTTTTGCTTCTGTGTTTACAATACTGATAAGCGTTTTTTTATTTATTACTGAGTAATATTCATTAATTTTATAGGTATAGGTATATATAGATATTGGTATAGATTAGGTATAGATATGGTAAACTAGGTATAAATATTGGTTACGCTGGAAACGAGTATGAAAGTTTTGATGTTAACCGTATCGACAGTGCAAAAACACATTCCCTGATTTGGCTTTAAAAAGCTTAGAAAAATTTAAAAAGCTGCGAGAAAGGAAAAAAAAAATGTAAATTCTAAAAAACAGTAGGGCATTAGTTATAAATCAGCGGAATTTCAAGTTTACAAACTGATTAAAAGTAGGTATTCAGTGTTATAATTCTTTAAAAGCGTTTATCTCGTTTTTCATTTTTCGTGCTTTAATGCTAACAAGAAACACAATATCTTCACACATTATGATTGAAATCTTATGCAATTTAGTATGCCTGTGTAGAACACTTCACGTAAGGAAACAGACTATTTAATAATTGATAAATGCATTTTTTATAAAGTAATTATGTGTTAAAGATGAATTTTAATGCGAAAATATGATTTTTCTTTGTTATCTTACACATTCCATCTAAAAAATATTTTAAATACCTTCCTAGCTTTAAAATAATAGTCTACCTCCTTGAGAATATCTTTATGATGGGTTTGCATTTTACAAAATATGAAAATATATTATACTTTTTTTTTAACACAGTGTTTCTAAGTTGTTGTAAATTTTCTGTTTTTTTTTTTTTTTTTTTTCCTTACTTACTCAAAATACAAACAATGGTCATTAAATAACTCAGCTTCTTTATTTTTTTCATATTAATTCTTAAACCAAAATAAATGCACACACTTAAAATTAAAAAAAAAAGTGGTGAAAGTACTCTGATTCTAAACTAATAAGTGGACGTATAGCAAAAGAACTAACTAATTTATTACAGTATTAAATATTCAGTCTAATACAGCTCTGGCATGTTGCTTAGCCGAATCCAGATGGCCAAGTGAGAGTTTCTCTACTTATCCAATAGGTGGCGCTGATATTCTAACTTAACAGAAAGTATACAGCCCCCTTTTAACACTGATAGAAGGATAAATAAAACTATTTCCTTACACAGACATACTTGAAAGAAATCTTAAACAGAATGGTCAAAAATTGGATTGGTATGTGATTTTTTATTTAAAGATGATAACGATCCAAAATGCACTGGTCTGGATGCCATGCTGTAGGTTTTGCAAAATGAGCACAATGAATTGAATGAAGAGAACAGACACCTCCTCAGTCAATGTATATAGAGCCTCTATGGGTACATTTTCAAGACAAAATGAAAATTCATATTTAATTTCTTATCAGATGTAATTAAAAAAACGCTTTGTACCAGGAATGGGGCAAAATTACGCCACATTTTGCTACCCAAAAGAAAAACAGCAATTAAGAAAACTAAAAATTTTCCGACTAAATATTAGTTAAATTAAAAAGAGACATAATGAGTAGTTAATTGTTTGAAATCTAGAATATGAATATTTTTTATGCATTCAATTAACCTCTTCGTCGTCCGTAATGCATCTAGCGCGTTTAAGTGAAACTTCCGCAGGACGGCCGTAACGCGCCTCAAGCGTTTTTGTAGAACGCTTGAGACGCGTTCTTTTACATGTTTAAAATGTAGTTTAAAACTTTTAAACGTTTAAAACGCTTTCTAAATGTTTACTTGTTTGAGTTAATTTTTGTTTGTTCTAATACCTCCTAGAGGGTAGCACTAATCAGGCATTCTATTTCTAATTGAATTTGCCCCGGGTTTTATGAATATTCGCGCCATTTTACATAAGATACAAGACAGTAAGAGATGGCTTCAACGTCTACTCAGCAGAAAAAGAGAAAAAATGAAGTTGTGAATTGGAAAGATAAGAAGGATATACGTTTGATGAGTACAGTCCATAATAACTCGATGATTGATGAAATAAGCAGAGATATTATTTTCCATTATGCTTTATTTCCTTACACTTTTACTTAATATTCATTGACATTTATCCACTACGAAAGCCATTTATGGAAAGTTATGATGTACAGAGGAAACAATATTACACATTACGAAAAACGCACGGCCGCTGGGGGGGGGGAATTTTCGCGAACAGGAGAGGACGGCGAAAGGATTAAAATCGAGATAACTTGTTCTTTTACTTTTTTCTGTTTCATGTGGAAATAAAAAGAACTTATTTTATTCATTTTCTTTCATTGTTTAATATTTCTAGAATATGAAAATAATAATTATATCAGTTTCTTTGCAAGTAACAAAGGTTTTAAAACTTTTTGAATAATGTATGAATACTTTTGACAATGACTATATCTTCCTGTTTTTGTTCAATAAACAGAATTTAAATTACCTCTCTCCCTTAAACGGTTCAACTCTAGCAAGTCTGTGTAATATTTTTACGTACACGTGTCTTTTTTTAGTAAACTTTAAACAATATAGAAGTAGTTGCAAAATATTATTTAGATTTCCACAATAAACTTACCAATAAAACAACATAGGGAAGAAGAATCGTGACTACTGAAGCAACAGTGGAGCTCATTCCCATTCCCAAGGATCGCACTACTGTTGGATAGAGTTCAGAACTTTGCTGATATGTTACCATGAAAGCAGCCGCTCCGAAGAATTTACCAATCACTGAACATACAATATCAGCGTAAGGCATATCTAGAAATGAGCATTAATTAGTGTCACAAAAATGCTACTAATAAATAATAAATAGCTGGTAATCGAAATGTAAACAATTATAATTTTAACCTGCAACGAAACTCTCTTGCTCCACCAAGAGTTCATTTCTTTAATCCGAAGAAAAACGTGACGATGGAGAAATAACAATAAGGCATAAAGACAATGTTATTTTGGAGACGATTCTTAAAAAAGAAATTCTCTCCATTGCGAGGGTGATCAAATCCCTGTTTATTAGGGTCAACATAATTTTATGAAGATTTATTTATTTTTCTTTTCCCACATTGGACTTATTTTTAGATTATTTTTAGATGGACCTATTTTTAGATGGTTTTTTTAGATGAAATTTTAATATTTATTTTGTATAGTCATGTACTATGTGAAGTTACGTTGATATTGTAACGGCATAAAATATAAATAATTAGTTTGGAAGTAACTCACAATATTTTAATACTCATAATACTTTAATAGTTATAAATTTTTACTTGCATATTGTATATTGTTTCTGGCAACAGTTTTATCTTTAGAATTCGATTTGTTTTTAAATATAGAAGATGAGATTTTTGACTACTGAGCTGGTGATAAAAAATTATATTGATGTTGATATGGTAATCTTTTTATTTTATAGTAAGAATTTATTTGCATTGTATTATATTGTACCAACTGAACATCCAAAAAGCGTACTGTTTATATTTGTTATAATATTATATGCTGTAAATTTTTCTAGAATTATGGGAACTTAAAGAATTCACAAACGACTTTTTTCTCAGCCGTAAGAAAATTTACCTAAATGTTGAAAGCTATTTTTTTCTCTTAGCTTGTTCATACCATATTTTGTCCTGCCAGTATTCTAGAAAGACCATATCTGTCATAACAACATTGGGCATATATTCTCGCAACTGACACTCAATTGCAACTGAACGTTGGAATACACTCAGTGACAACATACAATCGTTTTATACACTCAGTCGCAACTGAAATTGAAACGTGTACCAAAGTATTACCAATTTTAGTAGATATTATAAAACATAGAAGCCTGTTGCAGAAAATTCAGATTTTTCATTGCTATAAAAGGCCTTGTCCGGATGGTGTATCATGACTATTAAAAAAAACTGCTGATGAATTCGAGGCTATTAATGGGGACCAACGGAGGCGATGCGCATGTAAGACACTTTCCATATGCGCTTCCAACAAAGCGTTGATATAAGAAAAAGGCCATCGGCTTGATGTGATTCCCAAAAGAATAAACTTGACAATCTTTGTATAATAACATCAAATTTAGGCTTATTTATTAGCGATACCGCGTTTTCTCGCCGTATCCGCATACACCCATGAGCATATAAAAAGAATAAAAATAACACGATTATTAAAATCTTTCTCAAATAAAAGGGAACCACATTTTTCTGTCCTTTCATTCTAAATTTCTTTCAGACATTAAGGTTAAGTCACTAACGAGAACGGGAAAGAAGACGAAGCATTGAAAAGATACCTAAACCGTTAAAGATTACGAAAACGAAACCAATAAATTATTTTTCACATATCCACCCAGATATTGCATGCAATAAAGCGTAATAAAATCTACCTAAATATAATTTTAAAGTAATTTCAAAATCCTTACCTATACCAGGCAACATGCAGACGATTCCAGTCAAACAAAAAGCGCCCAACTGCACACCATCGCCTTCCCAGACGTTCCATGATGTACCAGCTGGCTAAGTAACCAGGTACTTCAGCCAAAGCCATAAAGAAAAAGTTGACAAATTCGTTGCCTGCTAAATTGTAGACATTTATTTGTAGACCATAATAAGCGCAGGTATCCGCTATCCTAGATAAAATTATACGATTATCATATTTTTATTGCATTTATCAAGACTTTACAGCATTAGTTTATAAGGATATTTTATTATCGTTAACAGATTACTTGCTTGGGTAAACTTTAAACGTTTTATTCCTCATTTTCGTCTGTCTATCATTTAAAGAAACGTCTAATGGAAAGATGTAAAACTAAGCATGATTCTAGATAAAATGAAATGTTATTTATGTTTGACTTCGTTGAGAAAATACTGGAATAAATACTTTGTTATTCATTTGACAATTCATTGTGCTTATTGTAATGAGTTCTTGGGAAGAAGCATTAAATGGGAATGGAACAGCTGAGAAAGAAATTGCCTTACATTCATTATATATTTAGATATACTTCCGCAAACTTATAATATCTCTAAAAATATTTTAAAACAAATCATAATATTGTTTTATACAAAGGATCATACAGAGCTGTTTAAATATGAGGCCAATACACAGAAAGACATTATAGTATTCAATCAACTGCATATTTGCAGAAGCATGGATACAAGGTCATCTGAATCTACGTTCATAGAATGCTGTGATAAAAAACAAAGTCTACTGCCATACAAAGCACCCGTAATTTGCATGTTATAATCACAGCAATAAGTAACCATTACATGTTTCCGCATTCTGTAATTTTGTTTTCAATGCGTACTTTTAACAGTTTGTTAAAGTTCTTTACATTAAAAATTATGTTGCATAAAATCAAGAATTATTACCAAGTCTCTGTGTTTGTATAATCAAGAGTAATATTCAATGCAATGTGCAGCTAATACTCGAAGTGTATTAAGTATTGTCAGGAAGAGGTTTAATTTCATTGTCACTAAGATGAAAACTTAGGTATTCAATACATGCTTAACCCTTTCAGGGGCGATGGTTTTTTTAATTTAGAAAATTTGTTTTTCCCCCCCTCAAAACCGCTGCTAAAATTAAATTACTTCTTAAAGCTGATAACAGATGGCAGCAGCAAACCTTTCTGGCATCCATTAATTGATACGAATCATTCAAAAATAGCTTATTTGCACACTACTCTTTTGACCCATTTTAAAAACAAAAAAACCCAAAATTTTTATTTTTCCGCAAATATTTTAAGAGGCATCAATGAGTAATGAAATACCTTAGTTCACAAAAAAAAAAAAAAAAAAAAAAAAAAAAAAAAAAAATGTAACCCTTTTAATTTTGAATGTTTTCAATGCGGTTTCAGTATGAAACCACCGCCCCTCTGCGACATCGAAGAAAGGATCAGACGACGCAGTCGCGAGATTTTTTGCAGTTGTGTTTATTGCTTTCGGATCACTGCTGTAAACAGTTGCACAATATCTGCATTTCAGTGGCTTCAAAGTTGAGGATTTATGGAGCTTTTGAGAGAGGGAAAACATTTCTTATTTTTTACAGAGACGCAGAGCACACTGAATAACACTAACAGTTGCGTTTTTATTATGCTTCTCTTAGCGGTCGCTTTTCTCATCCTTCTAGTTCGTAGTAAAATAATTGTATGCATCTTAATTTATTGTATTGTTACATATAATGTTCTTAGTTTAAAACATAATTTTTAAAAATATTTCATAGTTTTATGCAAGTAATTTAGTGCATTATTAGTTGCTCTTTGTCTCATACTTTTTTGTTTCCTGTTTTAAATTTTTTATTTATAATTAGAAATGCGTGTTTATGCAAATATTACTTACTTCATAAGTTGTTCAGTAATTTATTAGTATAATCTGCAATTTAGGTTACGTTCAGATACTTTTCAGCAAAGTAAAGATAAATAAGCAAATGGTAGGGGGACGAAAAAAAATTTTTAAACTCATTTATGTTGTCTATAGGACCATTGCATGTCATTATGCTTACTTTTTCATAACTTTTAAAAAATCATACCATTGCGCCCCTGAAAGGGTTAAACAAAGCTGCACTGTGAAACATTGAAGCAAAGTTCATATTCCTGAAGTTTTGAAAATAAGGCTTTCAAGTGCCTGCAGTGTTCCTCGGAATCTTTAGAGGCTATGTGCAAGTTATCGATGACAGTATAAAAAACCTTCTAAATCTCAAGTGATATTGTCTATAAAATGTCGAAAAGTCGCGGATGCGTCGCATGTACACATGTCGGTTTTATGAACGTCTTCGGGATTGATAGCTACGCCTTAATAAGGTCAACACCACTAAACATTTTAGTACCGTGCAATTCAGCAGTAAAATCGGCTAACTAAGGGAAAGATATTTATCTTTTATTGTTTTCATGTTCAATGCGCGATAGTCTCGCACAGGTCTCAATTCTTAAGTCCCTTTTTTTTTGCAACCATATGAAGTAAACGGGCATGCATAATTCACGCTTTTCCTGATTAAATTAACCCGCGAGCACACGCACCGATCCGATGAACACGAGAACACGCGCCGGGTATGTCATACCCGAATAAAAATATTGTAAATAAAAATTTGCCGAAAAAAATTAATCGTTTTTTTAAAAGAAATTAAAATGTAAAACCAAATTAATACTTCATTTTAGATAAAATAGGAAACAATAAGGGGAGGAAAAATTATTTACTTGCAATTTTTTTAACATTGTTTACAAAATGAGGTCATATGTTCCACACATGTACTTTTGCTACAATTTTCACAAATGAATCTAGTCTTTCTATCGTTCTTCTTGGAGCACTCTGTACACCTCTTGTAAGTCATTTTAGGTTTTTTGGAAGGGCGGTTTATTGTTAACATGTTCATCGGTGGTCAGTTTTCGTCCAGAATCAGGAACCACAGATGCTCGGCGTCGTTCATTTTGAACACTTTCTATTAGCTGCATCCCTAAGGCTTTGAGAAAAGTACTCATCCCGCTTCACGAGTGAAATTTTCTCGTACTGAATCAATATAAATATTTGTTTTATCAACTACATGTTTTAACATACTATCTTCATCGATAAGCAATGACAAGGACTCTAATGGTGTTGAGACGTCTTTAGAATACTTTGTATTTCCAGGGAGTTTAGCTATAATATTTTTGGCGCCAATTCTAACATTAGTCCGGAAATTTGTTTGTTCCATTTTACTCCATTTTTTCCCAACATAAAACTCATTGCTACATTCAGAGTTTCATTTTCTGTTTCTGTATCTGAATCACTACTCTATATGGATGAATCATGATTACTAATTATATTCTTCGTCATCAAAATCTTCCTCTTCTCACTAAATGAATCCTCATCAGAAAAAATTGTTCAGGAGATTTCTCAATCTTTTATCTCTTCATCGTAAGGAATATACGGCTCCATGCTACAACTCAAGAAAAACTTATACTAAAAGCTTGAAAACGAGAAGTTGCGAAGTGACTCACTGATAAACGCCAGTACAACGCGCGTGTATGACATGCCCGACAAGCTGGTCTAAAAAACCATTGCACTTGCCACCAGGAATTTTTCCCATTTAAATATGTGACCTTGAACTCAGCTACACCAAGTTTCATCCTTTTATGAAAGAATAGGCGAGAAATATACAAAAAGAAAAATTCACATGGGTATGACATACCCGCCGCGTGTGCTCGCGGGTTAAGAAATTATAAGACGTTTACAAATAACAATTTTCTCTCCATGGAATGCAAGTAATATTTAGTTTTCCACTTCAGGAATTGTCTATTTAGGAAATATTGTAATTAAAAACACGCGATCAATAGTACAGGTCGAGACTTGATATTTAAAGAGGTAAAACTCGTTTTTGTTTTAGAAGAACCTGTATATAAATTCATGTCAAAATATTCTTAAATAAAAAACTAAATGAGTACAAATGAAATGCATTAAATGAAACGATTGCCATTTGCATATTATTTTCATAAAGTGAAATCGTACTTACCAACATAAAGTTATGATTAAAAATTTTTTGCGTAGCTGGGGATATTTGAGAAGATCTAAGGACGAGGAATCTTGTACAGTTTTGTCTGTTTTCAGTTTCTCTCCTAATTTCTAAATAAAATATTAAAGTCATATTAAGCAGAATAATAGGAAGATTCTTCTGAAAAATTTAATATACATTGTACTAATTTTTATGTAGCAGAATGTCAGATATAAGAGATATCAAAATTAGTCGAGATGTTACTCTATTTTATACGTGACTGAAACTACAAAAATATTCTGAACGTTATACGATAAAAGTCGCTAACTTCTTACTGGAAAATCTGAGACTGCGAACGGCCATAAGTTGGATCGCTTCCAAAAGTGCATAAACAAAATGTCTTAAAATAATTTGAAACTACATTTGTAAATTTAAGGACCTTAAGGGGTAGTGTAATTTACCGCAACTTGAGAATGCTAATAGATGTCGAAGTTACAACTACGAAAATATGTAAATAGAATATCCTAAAATGATTTGATGCCATATTTTGAGATTCTGAGAATGATACAGATAATCTAGGACATGGCACCTACAAAAATGTGTATATAAGTTCTCTCATGATGACCGTAATACTTTTAAATTCCTTTGCAAAGTTAAATAATGTAGTGATGTAACACTAACTAAAATAATACCCCCCTCACATGTCCCATATATACATATGAATTTATTGAAATGAAATGCATTCAAATAACACTTTTTTTTTTCTAGCTAACAAATGGTATTTACGCCCGGCTATTAAAGACATTTTTTAATGACTATTAAAGCCATTGTTATAAGACATTTTTTAAAGAATTATACATTACAATATCTTTACGTATATTTTTAGCTTAAAATACTGAATTTTCGTCGTTTGAATTTTTCTGGCACCATTTATAAGCAACCGTTCTAAACCACAGCTTAAAGAAGACCAGTATGTAAACATGTGAAAACTAATTGCTTTTTTCACCAAAATGTAAAGCAGCCGGAAGAAAACAGCAATTATTTTACTTGTTGGATTTACAATAATGAAGTGAATTAAGTGAACGTTTATTGTTAAATCAATGTATAACCGTATTGTTTTTATAAGGCTGTTGAGAAGATCTCGTCTTTCGTGTTATTAGAAATACGAACCTTTCTTCATTGATTATTTTTTATAAGATTAGACATTTTTACGAATTTGATTTATTTTTCGCAAGTTCATCGTGTTTCTACTTTTGCTCGCGGTACTTTCTCATTTCCATTTTCCGCCAACAGATGGCAGCACTAGCACCTGCCTGAATTGAACTTCTATACTATTTTCACGTCTTGGCTCTTCACCTTTTGAGCCCATTATCGTCTTTCAACATATAATGCGAGTGCTCTGCATCTTTTTTATTACCGTGAAAAGCTTGAGTGTAGGGGTTCAGCGGTCAGACTGTTATTTAGCTGTTATGTATTTAGTTTATGAATGCAAACAACTACTTTTATTCAAGTTTTGGTATTTATTAACATTTTCTACACATTTTGCTTTTTTAATTTATAAAACACGTTTAAAAGTCCTCTAAATGTGGAAAATTATATAACCCCTACTATAGATAATTTACTTGATTTTGTGATTAAAATTTTACAAATTTGATTGCCCTTGGAGGAAAAGAGTTCCAAGATTCTGTTGTGCAAACGAGAGAAAATGGACTTCTAAGCTCTTTGGAAACATCGTATTTTACAATTTTAAGTTGTGAATTTAGGAGGAAGACTTCAAACATTTTGACGCTGATTTACAGATGAGCTTCTAACTCCTTATGTATTTGCAATATTTTGGAAGAGCCCGCAATTTTCACCTGTCTCCCAAATTTCAATATCTGTTTGAGAACCACCACATTTTACTTTTTGTTGGCATCATAAAATTCTACGCTGCAAGTAAAACATTCCGATACACTATGTTGTAGAGACATTAGGATTTTTTTGAAAGCCGGAGGGATGAAAAATTAGCAACTCCCTTCGCCAGGAATCGAACCACGGACCTCTGAAATACCGACTCCGTGTACTGTCCACTACACCACGAAGGCGGGAGGAATACCTTATAATGTAAATAGCTGATGAACGCATAGAACCAGAAAAAATACCTTTTAATACCCGCAACTATTTGATGATTGGGAATATTTAGACAAGACGCCAGGTATGTCAGGCTCATCAGGGGCCAAGCGGTAAAATTGTTCAACACTGGTATTTCCATCTGAGGTTCGAATCTCGGTGAACGAGCCTCATGCATGAGCATTTTCGTGGGTCTTCTGTACGTGTAACATGGTTACTAGTCAGTTTCCCCTTAAAATCCTCTATGGAACATACTGGTTAATATCCCTTAGAACGCGTATACTGGCCAGTTTTCCTTAGAATGTCCTCCATGAGAGCATCACTTCTCTTAAGTAGATAGTCTTTGAATGCTTTGAATGTTTGCTATAAGGAAATAAACCAAAACTAGGTAAAATTGATGGTATAGACCAGAGTTGGCCAAACTTCATGTCAGTAAGAGCCGCACGTTTAAATTCAGGAATGTTCGAGAGCAGCATCTAGATTTTCTAAAAGCCACAAGTTCATATTTACATCATTATAGAAGTAGTGGAGGAGGTTTTTAAATAGAAAGAAATACCTGATAACTTTGTAAAGAAGAGTCTAAACTAATTAATTACTTCTTTCTGGACACTGAATAGTTTTAGTTTACCATATTTCATACATACATTTTATATGCACGAGCCACACAAATTGATTGCGAGAGCCGTATCAGGCTCACGAGCCGCACTTTGGCCACCCCTTGTATAGACATTTATGTATTATACGGCAATAAAATCCCGATTTACTTGTACACAACTTAAGGAACCCACATTTACATCTTATCGCGCCAAACTGTAAGACAGGGAACAATAATATAATTTAGAAGCGTTTAAATGGAATATTTCACGCATTTATAATACGTGTTTCTATGTTAGAAGAACGTCCTTGCTACTAATTTCATTTTTGAAGAAGAAAATTATAGCGAATCTCAAAATTTATATTTGAAGGTGATATCGATTCTTCTACATTCTCTTGTGACTTCGGATCCTAGCAGAAGAATGAAAGTTGTTCCTTTACTTAGAACGTCATGTGCCCACTTTACTAAAGGATCAAACGATTATTAAGGCATTGAAAGTAAAATACATCCGAATACTTTTGCTAGTTAAAACGAATTTAAGATTGAAATATTTCTGGATGGATTTCAACAACTGTATGCTGCACGAATTTTGCAAATACTACAGATATCAATATCGCTTCCTATTTTGTATTACAGTAAGACCCCGCTTAACGCTGTTTCGTTTAGCGCTGTTTCGGCTTAGCGCCGTTTCGGCGCTCTTTTATTTCAACCTCGGGATTCCCCGAAATTGCTCGCAGCTTGAACTACGGGGATTCCTCGAAATTGTACGCAGCGGTAGGTTTCCAAATAACATATCCGAAACTTTGTAGTTATGTTTCTTGTTTGGTGCGGTGAGGTGCTGTACGGAAGCATTTTTATCATTTGAAACATCTGTTGACATTATTGTAAGTATAAATTTATATAATACTATAACGATTAATACAGTGACAAATATTATGATCTTTAGTTTTATCATGGGTGATAATAAAAAACAAGAAAAGAAAGCAACCAGAAAAAAGCATTTCACTGGAAACTCAAATGCAAGTGATTAGAAGATTAGATTCTGGTGAGAGTCAATCTCAAATTAGTGCTGCATTGAATTTGGCAACTTCAACAATAAGGACAATTCTTAAGAATAAAGAACAAATAACTGTCATCGGCAACTGCAACTACGTCAAGCTCTACAACTAGAATTACCCGTTCTAGAAATACATTATAGAGGAAATGGAAAAAAAAACGACTGTCTATATGGATTGACGACAAAATTGAACGCAGTATGCCATTAAGCCAATCTATCATAAAGCCTTCTTGACAAAAAGGCAGAAAAATTGGAAACACAGAATAGACTGAATGATCTGACTGGCTTAGAATTTTATTTGTTTTTTTAAGTATATTCGTTTATATTGTTTTTATTTTTTGTAATAAATAAATGTTTGGTTTTATTTTTATTAAAAAAACATTATTAAATTTAATACCTAACCAATTTTCTATTCATCTTCCCCTAACTCCATTATTTACATGTTAAGATAGCCTCGTTTAGCGCTGTTTCGCATTACGCTCTACTTTGATGGAACGGATCCCCCGCGTTAAGCGGGGTCTTACTGTATTCGTATTTGCGTACTATTCGTCATTTCGAGATGTTGTTACTTGTAGAATTTACACTATAAGTATTACTATAATTAGAGTGTTAGACATCTATGCAGACAATGTTGTAAAATTTCTATATTCCCAATCATTACAATCAGGCTCGATGTCTTTCTCAAGGTAAAGATCTATCCAGAGAATCAAAGTTTTATCCAGACTAGGATAAAAGGAAGGCAGTGAGCAAAAATGACAGAAGAGGAATAAAAAGCGTTCCTGCCTTTTATGAAGAAATTTTAAGGGAAGAAATGAAATGCTTCATCAGTTCACAATTCAAGGCAAGATTTCTTCTAAGATAGTCTCAAAACATAAACTATGCGTGTATTTATGACTGTCAGTAACATTTTACTTATTTTTTTGGTGAACCTAATAAACTTTGATAAAATAATTATATTTCTTTCGTTGGTTTATTCGTTTTTTGGAGAAAGGCTCTCTGTTAGTGCGATCCTACTGTTTTAACAAAGCGTCTTTTGAAAAGCCTGTCTTAAACCACTTCGTCTTAGCGTCTGCTATCGATCTTATAAAGTATTGTTAGTGACTTCGAGATGTTACTGTACTGAATAACTAATATTTGATGTAAGAATCCAAATTAACTAAATATTTTAGTGAAGACAATTTTTATTGAGTTTATTCCGCAGCGGACACATGAAATATTCTTCTGTACAGATTTAATTTAGAATCCGTGTTTTTTGCTTGCTTACTTGATTTCATTTTAAAATATGCATTTATCAGTAAAGAGCAAAACAACGGAAGCATTTTCCTTTGCAAGTCAACCAGTTTGGTCGACGGAAAACTTGAAGTCTCCCAAGAAGTCAATTTTCCATTTTTAGATTTTGCAAAGCATTATAAAAGAAATAAATGTTATAAAAGAATAAAATTTTATTACATTTATTACTTGAATAATAATGTCTATTTTTCTTTAACTTTTTGAAATTTAATTAATTTCATATGAAATCCTTTTTGTGCATTTTTATTTCATATGGATTGAGAGCTGTTGCATCAGCGCATCTTTCGGATGAACTATTAAATTTAAGACGGCTTATCAGCTAATTTTGGATGAACAGAAATGCAATGCGATGATGTTTCTGGGGGAAGGGATTCAATTGAATTTGGTCTACCTCCTCTTGATAACGTTAAATCAGATTTCGATTATATTCTTTCGCCTATTTTTTCATATATTTCTATTGTTTTCGAAACCTTTTCCGTTTTGAAAACAAGTAGTTTATTTTTTTATTAGCAAATTTTAGGATTTTTCTGGTTTTGATTTTATTTTTTTCATGTCTTTGCGAATTAAGTTCTAAATTTCTTCCTCTTTTGTCTCTCAGTCCCTGTGTATATACTTTCATAAAGACATCACAAAAATATTCTAGGTTTTATATATACGGCGATTCCGGTCATACAGGTTTAAAGGACATCAGAAAAATAGCCGACAGCATGTGTTGGAAACTGTAATACCTAAACAAGCTTAACGTGGACTTTACAAGAGAGCAGCCAATAGTAGCGCAAACTTTACTGCACTTGTAAAGTATGAAATCTTACTGGACGATTTTTCATTCTTCCGTACTCTGCCCATCTTCTATGACAAGAGGGATTTGCCACCTGACACGCGATTTCACCCCTCACCCACACATAGATGAACTACATGTTACACTCCGTGATGTAAATATATTTTCCTGTCTCGTATGTTGTCTGGATTGGACATGGAAGCTAACGCTATTCTCAAGTTGGAAATGCGTGTCTTCTCCCGTTTGCTAGATTTTCCTCTAGTACTATAGATGTAACACTATGAGGGACATATTTCATGTACCATACCATCTCAAGCTTCGTAAGGACTCTGTATTTGTTCTAGAAATACTGCTCAAGAAGTAAAGCCCCAAAAGAACAATGCAGAATCACAATATCGCAGTATTGCAGTAAGGTGGAAGAACCGTTTACAGAACTGCCTTGCAATCAGTAATGATTATTTTGAAGACATTGTAGCAAAGATCTGGAAGAAAAATACTTGAAATAAATCGTATTTGTTGAATATTCGTACATAATACTACTTTAGAATTACTCCATTGTGAAAGAAAATAATATGCTGGGGCCTTATAAAAGAATTTCTATGAAAACACAAAGGCCCAGTTTCAGAGGATTTGGTAATCCAAACTTAAAACTAATTGCAGCGAACGAAAATGTTTCTCCACAGTTTTGAAACAGGACGTACGAAGCTTTATGGGTTATTACCTCTATTTTCTGTGAAAGAACTTTTGGATCATGAGGTTTTCCATTTTTTTCCGCAACTTTTGTCATGATCACCAGTGCTTCATCATATTTTCCCTGGGAGACGAGCCAACGAGGAGATTCTGGAAGCATTCTGAAAATGATAAATAAAATCTGCTTCAAATTTTAAGCCAAAGATATTATCATATTATAGCAAGTTTTTCTTGAATTAAATGTCAAATAAATCAACTGCTACTGAGAAAATACATTTGAAATGGCAGTTCACTATTAATTTGCAAAGGATATAATTTTTCAAGAGTTCACAACATAATGGGAGATTTAACAATGGAATACAGAACAATCGTATTGTTGCGAGCGTACGAGTTCGTAATAAACTGAATGCGCACAGGTCCGATGATAGGTTGATAAAAATTATTTTTATCAAATGAAACGCTTCAGAATTCTGTAATTTTCCACAGAAATACATGTACAGTTGTTCACAGTATCTCAGAGTACAATCAGTTGTTACGCTTCAAACTATTTACTAAGCACATTAAACACAAGGCAATGCAAAGCGCATCTAAAAAGAAAGCTGGCCCGGGTATATATCAGTTCAGGCTGAACTAAGAACTCCCAGCAACAATAACTGAAAGCATGCTTTGATTCTTTGATGCATATTCTGGTGTACAGCAGGAATTAATCCTGCTAACTGAGAGTAGATGCTCTCGACGACCTTATATAGTTTTCAACCAGCCACCGAAATATTTCTAGTACTTTCTGCCTCCGGAAATTACTGTTAAGCAATATGAAAGTCGAATTACAGTTTCAGCTGATATAGGGATCAATTACATTTATTCAATTGCAATACCTATTACGGTGATACAGAAACGGGAATAAAATATCACCAAATAATCGCCAGGTTTGACTACTTTTGGCGATTTCTTGCCCATTTGGTGAAAAAGTAAGTTACCAGAACCGTTCGAAGCTTGGCGATATCTCGCCAAATTACCGAGATACTCACTTAATGTTAAGTAGACTTGCCCCTATATTTTTACTTTTCCGGCACAACTTCTGTCTTTAGATGATGCTTTGCGTTGCATTACACAGAATAATATAACAATTTCACATATAATAGCACGAAAATCATCTATCTATGCACAAAATTCGCAACAGAATTAAAACAGAGAAAGGAAAAGGAAATCTTAATTAGACTCACTTCCAATAAAGAAATACACGAGAGTTACTGATGAAGTGATAAGTCCCAGCGTAACCCAGCTTCGGGCTAAATAAGCGATTAAAGGCAAAAAACAAAGGCCTACTGTCCACGCAATATTTGTGATGCCATTCATTTGAGTTCTCACCTCGGGTGCCACAATTTCCAAAACTGAAAGAAAGAACTACAGTTATGATCGCTAAAACTTGAGTTTGTAAAATACGTGTCAGGTTACACAATGTTCAAGAAATTGTACAAGCAGAAAAATATGTACCACTTCAATGGGTACTGAAAAATACATATTTATAATAAAACTAATTATCTAGTTTAGTAAAACAGGAAGATTTTGAACAATTGTTAGATGGGAATCATGCACAGATCATTCACAGTTATATATATACTCGCTCACTCTTATACCTCACACTTGTTCCCTTAAAAGCAATTTTTAGCATATATTGCTAAGAGTATAAATAATTTTTAAGATGCAGTTAATTAAAATTCATTAAAGAAATTAAGCTGATAAAAGAAAATGTATATTTGTTTTTAATAATTCAACGTTATCAGGATTTGGATAATCTTTATAGCTAACCATGAAATAAATATTTTTCTTTACATTAATGGATGGATGAGTGTGTCAATTCTTGCGTAGCCGTTCAAGTATGTTATGGTTATATACTGGTATGAAACATAATAGTCATAGTTCTTCAAATGCTTCTTTTGTTGTTTAGGCTAGAGTGTTACGCTCATGGTTAATTATTTTTCTTTTGCAATGGCACTTGATTGTACACCATTAGTCCCCAAGCATCAAAGTTGCATGTGATTGGAGCATGAACAAAATATATTAATAAAATTACAAAAAGACAAAACAATAATTAACCTCATTACAATAACTTCATTGAAACTGGAAAATGGGGAAAACAATTCCTGGGAATCAACTGCATCAACTCTCTAGTCTTATATTGACTGTATAGGTTTTCTTCCTTCAACGAGGAACATTTTAGAAAATGATACCTATCCATCTCAAAATTCTGGTTGCACTAAGTTCACAAAGGACTATCACATATACCAATGCGGTGCAGATGTTGAGCGAAACAATCATTCCACGGTCGCAAAGGAAATGCAGCAGATGAGTTGGATCTGTGAGAGTCTAGGATATTACTAATCGAATTCCTCCGGTTCTTATTCTTAATTTCTTCAAGTAATTTAATTTATTTCTTACAGCAATTTTTACTGTTCTTTTTATAAATGTAATGGCACCCCACGTTTACTTGATTTTGAAAATTTCAGTTCTCTTTTCAGCTAGTTTATCAGCCATTCATTACCAGTTATTACAAAATGAGCCAGTCCGAAATATACCAAGAGAAGAATAGAATGCAAACAGCTCTACACACCAACTCGAACTTTTTCGAGCATTTTCGATCCATCAGTTATATATATGAAGCCAATTATTCTTTGCATACTTTGAGTGGCAGCTGCTTTTAGCTCACCATCAATTGATGATGCCTTTTTTTTAGCACTCATCAAATAACATTCAGTTCTAATACATCCTAAGTGGATAGGACTTATTGGTTTCAATAGAATATTCAGGAGGGAGTGGTTTGATTTCAGTTTTAAAACCTTCTTCAAAAATCCATGCTGATCTTTCAGTCTTCTGGGTCTAGAGATCCTTCAGTCTTCTCAGTCTAATTTCGCCATGATTCTGCCATGATTCTGGCGAACTGATTAATTTCTTATATCGTGCTGTCTTCTGAAAATTACTCATGAGTAAGATAACCGATGATAAGCTGCATAAAGTGTCAGCACTGTGTCGGGGTGACAAATGAAAACAGCGCGTAATTTCCATATTCTTAAATTCTCAGTTATGCACACAGATAATATGATTTTGAATTTTTGCCTTTTGTGGAAATCTAGGAGGATCATCAGGGTAGACTTCAATTAACGCTTGTGATTCCTAAACCACAGACGGAGAAACGCTGCTTTAAAACTTTTCTGTTTTAAATCTTTCCACATCATAATGATCATAATTTCTTTAACTACTTAGCCATTGCTTTATTTCTCGGTCTATTCCTTAAAAAAATTTATTAATAATTATTGAGTCCATTTTAGCTAGTTTTAAACCTGACATACGTACCATTATACGTGCCATACGTACCATTATACGTAGGAAAGTAGCACGGCAATTTCAATAATAAAGTAGAAAAAATGAAACCCCAACATTTTCAGCCAACCAGAAACTTTAACAGCTTTATAATCCAACTCTATAGATCTATGAAATTTAATAAGGTTCCCTTGCTGAACTAACCAATTCATCTTTCCATCGGCGATCAGATTTTAAGCTTGAATATCGGCCTAATAAATATCGTGCAAAATTCTTTCCTAACTCTCGTAGTTCTTCTAAAGGATACTGTAATGTAAAAATAGCGCATTGTTCTAACAGACTAACCCTTGCTGTGTAAACCTGGTATTAAAAATATTCTTGAAAATTTAAAATTGGCTATTTTTATACTAAATGCGCCTGCTGCAACGTTACTATATATTTTTAAAATAATATATTTTTAAATATATTTAAATATATTTAAATATATTTTTAATCCATTTTTGTTTTTCAAATTTCTATAAATGCTACATCGAATAATATATACTTTTTATTACATTATATAATTCATACTTACCTATTATATATGGTAGTTGAAAGACAGAAGGCATGAGGCTTCCATTAATAGTTTTAACGACTATGAAGGCTGTGAAGTTTTTCATCAAAACAGAAACTATGGCAGACACAGCTGTGACGAGAATAGTTATGAAAAAAGTAATTTTCCGACCAATCCTGGAGAGAAAAAGATACCGCCTGTTATATATTAATAAAAAGTGCATTTAAAGCTACTAGTGACATCATTAGAATATTGCCAACTATTAATAATAAATAGCTGTTCTTTAACTATTACACTTTTCCTCTCTTCCTTCTATAATTTTTTTTTTTTTTTTTTGCTTATTACGTGCTTCGCCCTTAGACACTACACAGAAAGGGAGAGATGCCCCGTGGAGGACTTTCAAATGGAAACTGGCTCGTACACACGTTACACAAGGGGAAACCACGAAAACGCCCATGCAGCCACCCCGTTCGCGGGATTCGAACCTCGCACCGAACTATCAGTATTCAGCGATTTCTACCGCTCGGCCGCCCTCTTTGATTATATTTCAAAAACAGAAATCTAAAGAAGCATACAATTTAATGATAAAAGGAAATGTATATATATATATATATATACATATATATAGGATAAACATAGCAATAAACATGAAATCTGAAAACAGTAGGTTACTATTATGGTTTTTGGTTTAGTTTATTTAATTATGGCAAAGCGATCGAAGGCTATCTGCCTAAGGGGAGCGATGCCTTCGTGGAGGACTTTCTAAGGGAACTGGCTCGCATGCAACATTAAACACGGGGAAAGCCACGAGAACGCCCATGCAGCCCAACCTTAATATTAATACAGTAACTACTTATAATATATCAATCTTAACTGCGCAATTTCAAAATTAATACGTTTCATGCCATCTAACATAACGCTGCAACGCAATATATTAGAGCAATGAGATTAAATATTTCAACTGAATCCGAAACGTTTTGGCCTCTTCTCTTCACACGCCAATTTTCACTCCGCTTCGCACTGAACTTGCCGCTGGTACTGGCTATCTTCTGAAATATGTTTCACAAGTCTACTGTTACTGAGCTAAAACATCTTTAAGAAGAAGGCGCTATTGTGCCCATGTCATTTATACTGAATTAATGAAAAATGCATGAAAACCATACATAAAAAGAAAATAATTTAATTTGGCTAGTTCTTCAGGTCTCCGCTTCTTTATCGATCTAATGCACTATTAACGATTTCCAAGTTATTACGACAAGTCATTATTCTATCTACTCAATAAAAGCTCTTCAAATTGTTACAAGGATTATCTTTCAACCTACTACATATATACAGAGCGTGTTTACTGATTTTGAGAAGAATTTTCAATACAGTATTTTTTAAAAAAAGCAAATGATTTGGAATAAAAATTCCTGCCAACATAAATTTCATTCTAACAAACTTATTATCTGAAGTGAGAAACATCATCCGCTAGTTTAAATTTATTTTTCTTTCAAAAATGTCTCTATTCCATAATTCAAAAACCTTGTGAAACGCATGGTGTGAAATAAGTTCAAAATAAGCAACATTCTTAGTCAGAAAGGGAAGAACCGTCAGTCATTACTTCCATATGGAAAGAAATCTCTAAGCTAATACTCGAAAAAGGTACGTACTATTTCTAATGATCCTCAAGTCACATAATTGTAATAAGAGAAACCCACCGATGCAGAAATCAATTGCAAAATCTGTAAATACGTCTGTAGCAGCAATAAGTAAAATAATATACAAAATTTACAACTTAAAAAAGCTAAAAAAATTAATGTTCTCCAGCTTTTGCCGAAGATAGTGGCTCAATGTAGAACGATTTATACAACCCGGTATGATCATTACTTAGTAGGAAATAAATCAAAGTTCATTATGACTCTTGATGAAGCATGAGTTTAAATGACAGCCCAAAAAACGGACTGTTTGCTATTGAAAACGAACAAACCTAGCTTGTCAGTGTAAAGAACGTTTCAATAAGGCGTTTATGATTGTCGCAGGATTCTCTTACAATGGGAAATTAAAAATATCAAGAGTACAATGACTTTAAAAGAGTGATGTGCCATCAAGAGAAACCAATAAGTCATGCTTTGAAAATTACCACTGCATTCCTTGAAAAAAAGGAAGACTGATAAAAGTATTTCCTACGCCTTTTCAACGTATTCCTGCGAAGCCTCCTAATGTTTAGCCTATTGGGCCTTTCATCTCTTGAAAAGAGCTTTTTGTAAGCTTGAACCCACGGCGAATAATGTAATGAAACAGGAGTGGATATCGGTACTCTTAAAAAATTACTAAGAAAAGCACTCCTATCACGGAAATCATTGAAGATTAATGGAAAATGAACATCAATTAAATGATTCCAAAATCCTTCAAAAAGTGTTTCACTTTTTGAACACTTTGTTCCTGTTTTAACATGTTCGCTTTTACATTATAAACATCAATTAAATGAATCCAAAATCGTTCAAAATGAGTTTCACTTTTTGAATACTTTGTTCATGTTTTTACATTATAAACATCAATTAAACGACTTCAAAACCGTTCAAAAAACACTCCTCTGTATATTTTAATTGCATACAGTTGCAAACATTTCGCTTTTAAATTTTTTTACGGCTACCGAATATGGTTCTTTTAAATTAAAGATCTTGGTCAATTTATATCGTATCAGAATTAAATAACTCTTGCATTTAAATTTAAAAAGAACCTAAGCATGAAAATTTACGCCACTGAAAACAATTCTGTGTTTAGAAGCTCCTTCATGGCTACGATCAAATATAGTAAGAATAAAGGGGGAATAAGGGCTTTTGTGGGCATGGTGTATACAGTGCTTTGTTCCTCACTTTCCTAGTAACATATACATTACATGTCAGTCAGAGAAAAAATATTTGTTTTTATAAATAATATTTTCACATATATGAATCATTATTGTTAAAGTCTTACCTATCAGATAAAGCTCCATACATTGGGGTTCCAAGAATGCTTCCCACACTAAACATTGTTTGGATGAATTTTGTATAATGGTAATCATCGCATACTAGATCCCACTAATCATGAAGAAGAAAAATAAAAAGATATTAATGTGAATTGAATAAAAACTTTTAAATGTGTATGGAGAAAGAAACGATATTATTACATTTCAAGCATGCTATATTTAATTGTATTTATAATTATATTTGCTTTCTATGGAAAATTTATTTTTTTATCAATAACACAATACAATGTTAAGAAATATTCTGGCAAACTTATGCAAAATGTAAAACACCACTATAAGCGACATTTCAAATTTAAAAATACATATATCAAGCATATTATTGCGCAAATAATAAAACATGAGCAAAATAAATATCTGGTAGTGTTTTGGAAGATGATCGTTTTTACCCAGTCATAACAGCTTCTAACAACTAGCGTAGAAATCTTAATTTTTGTTTTTATTCTTTTTAATCTTTCTATTATAAAATAAAAAATCTGATGTGTACACCACATGACTTCCTTATACGGAATATTAAATTATACGCAATTTTTCTGCATGTCATTTAAACTTATTGAATTGCATTGAATCTACTTCGTCGTCGATAGCGCATAAACCACAATAGAACAAATGCACTCTTTAAAATTCACTATATTTGTCACACTCTGGCGCTAGGTTCACTTAATATCTTTACATTTCGTCCATATTGTATGCCACAAGTTCTATTCAAATACCTATAACTCTAAATCTTAAATGATGTATAAAAGAAATTAAGCAAACAACTCAAAAACGAAACAGTTTTTCACAGACGATTCAGTATTTCTCATTCAATTAATTCAGGTCTCACTTCGCGACAAGGCAAAAATACATAAAAACTCAAAATATATAGATTAAATATTCCGAAGTAAATCTTAAACACTTATTTCCTCGAATAAATTCCAGAATGGATTAAGCATGATTTAATTCGCAATAATAAAAGAAGGCTTTATCTTTGTTGTTGCAAAGCTTTGTTTCTTTACATTATCAAAAATCCCGCTATTCTGCCAAGTTTCAAATGTAAACAAACATGTCCGCCATGGCAAAATTAATTAGGCTTAGCCGCACTTAAACAACTTTTAAATTGTTGATAATTCTATAAATATTGCATGCAGATTACTAAATTCATAAAAATCTTAACTGGACGATAAGAACAACATAATTCAATCATTTTTAAAGCAAAAAATGAACAAATTACAGACATGTAAGTGTAAAAAAATGAGATCACTGAGCCGGGTAACAGAATGGATATATATCCATTCTGTTACCCGGCTCAGTTACCCGGTAACAGAATGGATATATATCCATTCTGTTACCCGGCGTTCGATTGCAACCAAAATACGAGGTGCACTCTACAGTAAAATAAACAACCAAAACACGAGGTACAGGTTATAGCAGTCCTATATACAAAATTTCAACGTTCTGAGGTTACTCGTTTTTGAGTTATGCGAGATACGTACATACATACGTACGCACAAACGCTAAAAACATTTCTCTTCAGAATTCATTTTAAATCAGTTTTGTAATTTTTTTGGGGAAAAAGAGTCTTATTCTGTCCTTGCATAGAGATGTCACGCAAAAACATCGTTAAATTGCATTCGATAGCGATTAAAATGGACATTTTCGTTGAAAGATGATGCCTGAAACTTTTCTCGATTACAATACTTCTTTTTTACTTTGTACAAAGAAATAAAAATTACATGCCTTCCGAACTTTCGTTGCAAAGTACACAGACGGATAGGCTCAAAGATATACAATTCGGAACGCATAATTTCCGAACGACTGTGCACCTCGACGTGATGATTTTGAAAATTTAATTGCAATTTTTTTTTTTAATTTTAAAAGACCTTTTTGCTAATTTTCTCACGCATCTTTGCTCAACCGACGTACTAAAAATTTTCCGATGTTAGGTTTTCAACTATAGTGTGAAGGGGGAAAAATCTTTTAAAAGAAAGTTGATGCCAAACTCTTATTTTCAGTTAATAATTATTTTTAGACATATTTTAACATTTCACATTGGTTATTTGGAATTTTAATACTAAATTATGGATGACATAAATATTTTGAACTTTTCTCTAGCTGTAATTTTTTTTATCTTCTAAAATAAGAGAGATAATAATCCAATTTTCTAGAATTCGTTAAATATGCTGTAGTGTGGCTTTAAGTAGAAGAAAGATTACCAGGTCTTCCATGGGCATTCTGTGATCTCCTTTAAAAACATGTTTTCGAGGATATTGTAATACGTCACACTATTTACCACTCAGACTTCCCTAATTTTGATTAATTATTTTCTTTCTTGCTAGCCAGAATTATTTTAATACTTTCCAGGAAATTAGACTTCTGCCTTCTATCCCTTTATAAATGATTTTTTTTCCATTATATATTTATTTATTTTTAAGGAAGATTTTGCATTCAGTTTTCTTTTAATTTTATTAATCTAAATTTTCCTTTCAAAATATTTGGTGCGAAACAAAACATTTCAAGGTTTGATTGCCGCTCGAAATCATTTTCAATGAAATCTGCCGTGTAATTTGTAAATTTTTTTTTTCGTTTTATAAGTTTATATGCATTTTTCTAGTCTTTTGTTTTGAGTTGATGTTCTTCATTTTATTGAGCTATATGTATTTTAAAATTCTAACTTTCAAAAATGTTTCTGTTAGAAATTCTGCAAGTTTTACTAGTTTTAAAAAATAAAACAAACTCTTCGCCCTCTTTTAAAACAATGATAATACTAATAATAATAATAACAACAATTTATAATGCAAAATAGATTAAAAGAAATAATATGTTTTAAATTTTATCCCATGTTCAATTCGGAGTAAACTACATGCAAAAAAACAAAAACCAGGATTCAAATGGCAAATTTCAAGAAAAGGAGCAAACCGCACTAAAATCAAAAACGGTCCCAGGTGAATAAAAATACAAAAATCTGATTTGATAATATAAGTTATTTCTCCGGCCTTCTTAGCTTGCCTTAGCGGTGTAGTGGCCTGCACGCTTGCCACGTATTCCAGAGATCTGTAGTTTGACTCCCGGCATTGCTCATTTTTCATCCTCCCTGCTTCGATTAACTTAATAGCTCTACAGTGGCGCTCGAACTATAAAGGGTGGTGGATGATGATTCTCCACACCCAGGATTTGACGACTGTGTTCCCTAAAAATCCCAGTCACGCTTTAAAAGGGGGCGTACATAAGGTATTTCTTCCGCTTTCTTAGCAAGCCTTCGTGGTGCATAGCTCTGCACGCTGGGCGCGTATTCCAGAGGTCCTTGGTTCGAGTCCCGGAGAAGGTGTTTCTCATTTTTCATCTCTTCGGCTTCGAAATAATCTAATCTCTCTACAGTAGTATATAATAAGTGTCGACGCTCTCATTGGGGTCGCGTTGTTTTCTAGTTTTATGGATTTCCCACTGCTATTAGGTTTGAACACCAAGACTCTAAATGAATGCCGAAATAGCAGCTTCGATAAAGTGTGACGTCACAAACAGAATTAAGATTTATTTAGCTTTTATCAAAGAATCATTTATTATACGCCGTTAAATGATTTTTCTGTGTTTTTATCGAAAGGCAGCTAAATAAAGATTTTGCCGTAGAAGTAAAATGCAGTTTTGACCCTGAATGAGTCTTGAAGTCCAACGAACATGTCAGAATCATCTTCTTGAAAGTATATTTAAACTACTTGATAAAATGATAAGCGCTTTTCTAAAACAGTTAACTGATTGTATATTGACCTTTAAGTGTCATCCCTCTTGCACTTTAATCAACAATTCGATGATCTGATTTTTGAACGATAATGAGTTGAGTCTCAGTTTGCGTAACTACTGAAATTTTTCGTGGCGCCCTCGTAAACTAGCCATGGAGCCTCAAGTTGTTGTCACGCGCTGTTTGAGAACCACCAGCTAAGATTAAAAGTCTGCTGCATATGGCTAAGAGGTTTTTGAAAAGCAAATTTTTCACTTATTTAAAAAAAAAAAAATTAAATGTTTCCTGCCAGAAGTGGGAAGTTTGTTTACTTGCTATATTGAGCACTTTGCAGGAGATTGATGGAGACTTTGAAGTTTTGATATGGATAAACATTGATAACAAAAGAAGATTACTCATATCAAAACAAATGGGTACCGTAATATTCCGGGGTATAACGTGCATTTTTAATACAAAAAATGAGATCGAAGTTTGTGGGTGCTGGCTAGACGACGGGTACAAAAATAGTACATTTATAAATAAGGAAAAAGATAACCACACAAAATTTAGTACTTTGTTTCTGTTTTAAAAATGTACCTAAACGTTGTTTATTTCAAACAAACGACACACCTTACGAACTAGAAAATTCTTATTATCGAATAACATCAAAAGTTTGTCATATTCATCTTTCGTTGTAGCTTCAGGCACATCATCGATGTGTTTCATCTGCAATGTAGCTGTTACTTTGATCCATAAATAAATAATCATCTTCCGTCCATATAGATTGTTAGATAATTTTTAAACGACTCTTCATTTATGACGGGTTTAATTTCATTTCATACCGTTATTATCCACTCATGCACTATCTTGAGACTGGCATGACTCATTTTATCTCCTTTCCTAAATGTTTTTTCATCTTTTAACATTCACGTATTCCAAATCGTTTTAAATTTTCTTTGAATGGTTTATTGATTATGATTGAAGATAAAGGCTGAACTAATGGCGTTAGTACAACTGGAACAAATGCCATGTATTTATTACACTCGTTCAACAATTTCTTCGTATTGTCCGTTAGATGGGATCTGAAATTCCCAAACTAAAATACTTTCTGGATTATTTAAGGGGGCTTTTGCCAATCGTTTCTTATCCACAATTTCACACTGTTTTCGTCCAGCCATCCTTTATCGTGAATATGCCAGAAAATACTATTCCGGAAATTATATTTTGGTTTATTTACTTAGGAATAGCGGACAGTACAAAAATAACTATTAGTTTTCATTTTGTACTGTCCGCTATTCCTAAGCAGGAAAATACTACAATGAGGTAAGATATTTCGTGACCTGTTGTTTTTATGTGAACCG